CGCCCCCTCACGTGTGAAGCATGACTCTGATATCAAATTGAAGCATGTGCTCCATCTCAACTAAAAGTCTAAGTTGATAGTTGGATTGCACATTAATGGTTATATGCTCAATAATTACAAAAATAAATAAAATACAGGGAATATATATTCCCGATAATTATATATATTCTCTACTAAATACTACTATGTTCTTTCTTATCTCATATATACTGAAGGGCTTAGGTAAAACTATCAGAGAGTAAAACACAAATAAACAAAAATAATGTATACGGGAGAAAGTTCTTGTCCTCTTGATACATTGAATGTGATTATGTTACTGTAATTCATGTGTAACCATATGAAAAATGCAAATTTTCAAGTAAAGAAATTGCATATATTAACATATGAATACAAAAACATTTGATGGATACCGCTACTGCATGCCTTGAAGGCTTGATAGGGAAGTTTGTTTAGTTGTTTGTTTGTTTTTTTTTTTTTTTTTTTTTTTTGAAAACTGATAGGGAAGTTATGATCACATATTCTTCAAATGCATTTACAATATTGTTCACAACTATCAACATATTTTGGATTAGGGACCATCTCTAGTTGAGTTGATCGGACAATAGTATGTGTATATATATAGGTTTATAGGGTCAGGTTCCCGTACGATTGTGCGGTCACTCACCATTAGTTATGCATAAATGCACCACAAAGTGTTTAAAAATGTACCATTAGGTGTGGTGCATTTTTTGGTGTGTGATGCATACATTTGTGCATTTAATTGTGGTGTATTTTTACATACCTAATGATGAATCTGCACCGGACGCACAAGAAGCATTGTCTGCATTTGAACGAGTATATATATTGACATACTATTGTGAGTTTGACATTTTGACATATATGCCGACACCCAATTCAAAACCATTTATTTCTTTTTGTAGCCTTCTCCGGGCACTGCGTAGAAATTAAATTCTCTTAATAAGTTTATTATAATTAAATTTTAGAATATATAATAAGCCATAAGCTATTAAGCTAGCGGAATTTTGTTCACCACAAATAAGTTATAGTAATCATTACGGTCATGATCATTAGCTAATTAAATTAAGGTAATTAACATTTCACTACGGATTAGTTTAAATCATATCATTTTCAATGTGCAAGTCACCTACCGAATATTAATAAGGTGACATAGGCCACATCACATCCATACAACATATCTCAATCCATTAATATATTGTAATCGATGTAATTCATGAATTGTTGACATTTTGTAATTGTAATTACGGAGTAATAAATTATATATTCATTGTTTTAATAATCACGGAGACATATATACTAAGGGGGCGTTTGGTTCAGGTTATATAACATAACCAAAAGAATGTGACATTCCAAAGCTCACATTCCAGTATTTGGTTCATATTATCTTAGGGAATCTAACATTCCCAAGGAATGTTACATTCCTCCACATAGGATTTTGAAGGGAATGTGATTCCCTTCAAAATCTTAGGTAATGTAAGATAACCTTGGTTATCTTAAGGATATTATAGTGTGTATAAAAGATAACCCTAAACCAAACATGATTATATTACATATCCCAATTTTAACCAAACACAGGAATCTAACATTCCCAGCAATCTAATATTCCCAGCAATCTATCATTCCCTAAGATAATATGACATTCCGTGAACCAAACGACCCCTAGGCATTGGAGCTTCATATCCTCATTTGTTGGTGTTATTCTTAAAAGGATATGTTAAAACATAATTTTAAATTAAGAGTAATTTTACATTTTTCTTTAAAAATATTTTTTAATATTCACCACACATTATTTAATATTTTATTAATATTTGAAAGATATTAAGTTTGCCATTTCAAGGGATAATTTCTAAATTAATATGATTACATAATATTCGCAATCACTTTCCAAAACCAAAGACTATGAATATAATAGTCTAACATGTATAGTTGTTTAAATTGACAACACCATTTGTTGCCATTGTGTGACAAGTGTTTTGTGGTTTGTATCACAAAATTATTTTTTTATGTTATTTTTATTATCATTTTACATGAAACGTAGCATGCTAGCATGTGATATAGTCAACGATTAGTGAATTAATCACATACACCCATACAGGCATCCAGCTAGTACTTGCTGGTATTTTTTTTTTCATTATGTACTATAATTTATAATGTGTTACAATAATGATAATTATTGATTTTATTAGGGTGATCCAATATAAACATTAACATACAATATGTTATGAAAAATAAATTGATACAGAAGATTATAAGGGCTGTACAAAGTCAAATTTTATTATAGCATTGGGGCGTTTGTATATATACAAAGTTTTTGTTTGTGTGTGTGTGTGTTTTTTTTTTTTTTTTCACTTTTGAATTCTTGAATATTTGTACATCAGTCTCCTACATTTTATGTGTCATTAACTATATTTTTCACATGCGGTATGGTGCATGACTATCATGACAAGGCCAACTTTAGTTGAAATCTCCCAATGTAACAATTACCTAAGAACAACTTTATTAGTTGATAAGTGATTTTTTTTTTTTTTTTTTTTTGTCAAACAACAAACAAAATTAAGAAAAAGAACCAAATTAAAGACGACTGACCACCCTCAGTGTACCCCGCAAGTGCATGCACACCAACTTAACTTTTTCTTTTTTCAACAACACCTATTAAAATTATAAAAAAACTCAAAACACTAATTTCTTTTACTTCTCTCTTTCATATCATCAGGAAAAAAAAAGGTTTGAAAAAACCTAATAAAAACTACTGCAGTGACTTGGTGCTGCCCTAATAAGATAATTAAGTAGGCAGCATTTGGGAGAAGATCAGAGACCAAGGTTCGAACCTCGGAGGCGACAATGTGGGGATTATGTCCAGAGTGGGCACATCTCTTGTGCGTACCGGCATGTGACCCTATATATTAAGTCATTGAGTCATCGTAATTTACATCATCTCCAACCCTCTATAGGGTCGGGATGTGGTGAATCTTTGGACTTGGGGATTCGACTTTTAGGGGGAAGATAATTAAGTATAAGTTGTATAGCTGTCAAGGTGCTCAGATGACATGTAGTGACATTTCCCTTGTGGGAGGTTATGAGATCAAGCTTCAGTGGAGACGTTGTTAATAAAAGTATGTTTGAACAGATACTACAATGTAATATAGTAAGTAGCATCCAAAACAAAACAAAAAAAGTATAAGCTGTATAACTTGTACTACATTATGCTGGGTATCATTAGTCAACACAATAATGTTTATGTAAAATGATTAATTTGTAACATTAATATGCACGGACGTGGCGTTTATATGTTTGTTCTACAATTATATACTTATATTACTGTTGTTATTATAATTAATTAATTATGACGTATGAAGATGTGACACACGACGCAATAATGTAACATCAATGCAGTTTAACAATTGGAGGGATGATTTTTAATGGAAATGACATCCTATAATTTCTCACCCGGACCACCTATTGCTTTCAAATTTGGTTTTAATAGACTATTGACCCTAGGAAAATACCCGGACCACCTATTGCTTTCAAACTTGGTTTTAATAGACTATTGACCATAGGAAAATGTGGAGATGGTAGTTAGTAAGACATGCAGATAAAATGGAACATGATGCTCGTACCCGAATTCAAATCTGAGACCTCTCATTTGAAGTATTAAATCTCTGTCGTTCGACCACAAAGTCTTTGGCGATGAATATTTAATTCAATTATTAATATTTACTTGATCGAGTGTTATTTATGAATTTATTTCATTTCAATGGTTTAATCATAAATATCATTTTAATGATTTCCAACCAAGTTTATGTAAAAGTTGGGAGTAAAATACTCCGTAATAATTAAAGGGGAGAAAATATATCCATATCATGAGATTGTAAATAATGATTTCCTAATATCATACTAAGAAATTTTTAATAAACATGGTAAAGTCACTATCAATTGTAGACACATGTAACTAAGTGTATACCTCACCATATAAAAAGTGAGGACTTATCATAATTATTTATCTTGACAAATCAATAAATGTGACCTTATCATAACTAATTGAATGCAAAATTATACTCCATAATTCATTAAATTTGTAATTAATTCACTAGTAGTTTTTTCAATTTTAAAAAAGATTATTTAAAATGGGAGATTATGTGTTCGATCTCTAATGGGGCAGTATTGACTTTTTGTGTTTCAGTGTGTTGAGAAACTAGTTATGAACATATAATACATTGTAACCGAGTTAGTAGTACTAAAAAAAAAAAAGATTAATAAAAAAATGGTCCACAAGATCAACATAAATGGAAGGTTTGAATAAGTCCATATTTTTATATTGTTCTCATTTGAATCACACTCTCTATATATATTACATTGATATTTGTATATCGCGAAATAAAATTACGTCATTAGTTAAGTTTTAATTACATTTTTTCTTATTCAGTGGGAGGGGGCACCCTAGCTAACATATGCGAGGGATATCTCACCCTTGGAGGATCCCAAGCAAGTCCTCATCAAGGATCCTGGCAACCTTAGCCGTCGATTGATGAATAACAACGAGACCCCGATCTCGTCTTAAAGCCTTCAATGAGAGGGGGCACCCTAGCTAACACATGCGAGAGACATCTCATCCTTGAAATATCCCAAGCAAGTCCTCATCAAGGATCCTAATAACCTCAATCGTCGATTAATGGGTAACAACGAAACCTCGATCTCATCTCAAAGCGTTATTTGTTAACAAATCAGCCACCCGATTTTGTTCTCTAAAAGTATGGACCACACAAATCTGCTAAGACTTCATCATCCATCTATCATCTATGGCATTCATGGATGATATTAGCGTTAACCTCTCCCAAGGCTATATTCTTGGGCTTATGCAAAATGATATGTATGAGACAATGAGTGGACTATACTCCTGGGCTTATGCCTAAAACATATTGTTATCGGAAGGAGCCCAATACTTCAATGGCGAAGTAGCCCCCATTACTGCTACTGTGATACACGGATAAAAGAAATATCAGCGCCTGCGCCTACGGCTCCACGAGGCAAAACCAGAGAAAGGATAAAAGAAGCGGCAAAGCGAAGAAGCAGTTCTGGTTTGAGATCAATTGCACATGAGGCGGTGCGCAGGTTAAAGCAAACATGCCCTTCCTTCTTCATCCCTGTAACTGCTCCATTTTCAACCCAACTTTCCCACTCTTTAATTCAGTTCTATACAGCACCGCCGCTCAATTTCCGGTTATTCTAGCCTCCCACAAGGCTAAAACCCCAAACCCCCACTCTGGGTCTTCCAAGAACCTTGCTTTTTCTTCAATTTGGAGACGGGTACAAGCCCCACTTTGCTCTAAACAGGAGACATATGAGGAATTCGGGAGCGCTGAGTTGCCTGGAAAGCTTAAAAGCGAGGAGCTTGAATTGCTAAATAAGCCGTCTCCTAAGCCAATAGACGACCAGCCTGATGCAGAAACCCAAGAGGAATCTAAAAAGCCTAGTAAAGATGAACTCTTGGAGCCTTTTCATCGGCTCTTCTCGCAGGATGAAAATCACGTTTCTGAACTGGGCAGTAAGGGTGAAGCTGTTCAGGAAAGAAAGGAAGTTACTGTTGAGTATTTTGAGCCTAAACCAGGTGATTTTGTGGTGGGTGTGGTGGTCTCCGGCAATGACAGGAAGCTTGATGTGAATATTGGTGCTGACCTATTGGGCGTGATGCTGACTAAGGATGTGTTGCCATTACATGGTAAGGAGATGGGGGATTTGTTGTGTGACTTGGAGAAGGATGCTGAGAAGGTGATGGTGGGAGGGAAGGTGGGAATTGTGAAAAATGATGAGGCCCTAGGTGGGGAGCCAATGCTAGGCAAGCCTGTGGTGGATCCTGGGACTGTCTTGTTTGCTGAGGTTCTTGGAAGAACTCTCAGTGGTCGCCCATTGCTCTCTTCAAGAAGGCTCTTTAGACGAATGGCCTGGCATCGAGTGAGGCAGGTTCTTTTCTCACTTCATTTCCTTTTTTATAGACAACACTAAAATCTTCTTTGATTTGGTATCATAATGTAGTGCTTCTTGTTGAGCATATAATCATTAATGTGCAATCCAACTATCAGCTTAGACTTTTGGTTGAGATGGAGCACATGCTTCAATTCTTCTTTCATTGCATAATATGGCTAGAACATTTCAGATTTGAAAATGAGAGAAATGATCTGTTTAATCAAATTTGTATCAGTTATCACTTAGCATTGTATAACAAGTCACTTTCCATTTCATTTTGATCTTGTTGCTTTCATAAGTCATGATAATTGGCATAAGGTAGATAATTCGTAGTCTGTTTTACTTGAGTGTGGTTAAGCTATTGATTATTTCTGTTGTTATTGTAGTGACTAAAAGTCTAGTTTGCATTAACATTGTTATTCAGGGAATATGTTTCTTTATCACTGTTCATACACTTTCTAGCCCTTGATCCTTTGGATATACAATAATGAGCATATTTTTAGCATGTTTAAGTCTTGGCCCTGTTTGGTAAAATGGCTGTTAGCTGATTGTGTTAATTAGAGGGTATAAATAGTTGATAACATTGGCTGATTGTAGAAAAGTGTTTGGTAAATTAGCTGTTAGCTGATAGCTGTTTGATATAATTTCTTTTCTCAAAAAGCTAATTGAAAAAGTTGCTTGGAGTAGCTTTTTGAATTTTAGCCTTTTGGAGTTGCAAAAAACTAATTAACCAAACATTTATATTGATATTTTAACTAAATCAAACAATTAATAGTGGTCAAATAGGCCAAAATTGGCCAATAGGCCAACTTTTTACCAAACAGGGCCAAGGGCATTAGTGTGTTAACTGTCCATTAGTGTGTTTTGCACTAGTGTTAACCGGTTTTTATTTCAAATACTTGTTGCAGATCAAACACCTTAATGAACCTATTGAGGTCAAGATAACCGAGTGGAATACTGGTGGTCTCTTAACAAGAATAGAGGTGATTTTCCTCCAATACACTGAAGAAAGTCAAGAAACCTTTGAACTATCCACTCCAAGATTACTCTTTAACTAGATTAATATGTCGAATATTTTTTTGCAGGGATTGCGTGCTTTTCTTCCAAAGGCTGAGTTATTGAACAGAGTAAACAGTTTCAGAGAGCTAAAGGAGAATGTAAGTTTGGGTTGGGTTCATCATGTTTGTATTGTTATGAACATTGTTGGTTACATGTGGTTTTGAATAGGTCATTTGGACTCATTAGCAGTTCTTGTTCAATAGTTGTTTGGATACGATAAATTCTATCGTGCAATTATGCTTAGGTTTCACTTCCCTCGAGTTTGTTCTCCTAGTCATGGCGTGATTATTGCTGCAGGTGGGGCGTCGGATACATGTACTGATTGCCAGAATAAACGAAGAAACTAATGACTTAATACTGACTGAGAAGGAAGCTTGGGTTGGTTTCTAATTTGTCTTCTCACAATTGTTTTTCCTATTTTCTCGTAAATTCTCAATCATTTGTTTGCCTCATCTTAACTACCTCTGGCTTGGCGATCGATGCAGAACATGTTAAATCTTCAAGAGGGGAAACTTTTGGAAGGAACTGTCTGGAAAATTTTTCCACATGGCGCACAGATAAGGATAGGTGAAACTAATCGTAGGTGAGTTCCCTAACAATTTAGCTCATTCTAGTGAGAGTAACTAAAATATGAAGCAAGGTGATTAGGTTTGTAAATATATGAATATACATCTAACTACGATTACTTGATTGGAGTAACATGATTGTCTAATTGGTTGAAAAATGTAAACGGCTTGGGAAATAGGAAAATTTGAGAATTTCCTTCAAATACCTAAAAGGTGAGTCTTGTCTTTCCTTTATAGCCTTTGAAATGCTAATTCTACGGTCTTTGACGTTTTTATGGTTTCTAAGTGGGATACTGCACATTTCGAACATCACTAAAGGCCGGATTACTTCAGTTGGTGACTTGTTAGCCGTGAATGAGAAGGTTAAAGTTTTGGTCGTGAAGTCAATGTTTCCCGACAAAATATCTCTGAGGTAGGCGAAATAAATACATCCAGGATTTATACTCTTCTGGATTCTTGGCGATTCATAGGTTAAAGCTCGATTTCTTTGATGAATTTTATCAAATGCAGTATCGCAGATCTTGAAAGTGAGCCGGGGTTATTTTTATCGAACAAAGAGGTACGCCCAAGTACTACGTTCTAAGTACTTATTCCTATAGTCCATAGCGCATTATCACTTGAACAAATATATTGATGTTCCGATTCTACAGAAAGTATTTTCGGAAGCAGAATGGATGGCAAAGAGATACAGGCAGGGCATCCCAGCTTCTTCAGTGACCCGTAAAAGAGAACCCCTTCCAACCAACAGTCTTCCTTTCGAAGATGGAGAAAGTATGTACGCAAATTGGAAATGGTTCAAATTTCAAAAGGATAACGAGGAATCAACCCCGTGATTCTAGAGCTAAGAAAGAAGGTCACAACGAGCCTCGGTTAGAAAAAGGAGGAACAAACTCTAACGCTCCACACACAGCATTATGAGTGGCGATTTTCGCTTAGACCTTTGACGGTCCAAGAAATCATCATTCCGGACCTCCATCCATCGGGGAAACAGAGGAGCAACATCAACAATGGTCATCTGGGAGCAGCATTTGTGTTAGATATCCTCTTCCTTTCTTCTATTTTGTGATTAATTAATTAACCTGTATCTTTGTGTTTATACTCCACGAACCTTAAAAGCCATTTGTATGTACAATTCTTGAGTAGAGAGAGGATATCAACTTTTGTTGCTACGAAGATAATTGATATTAGATCTGGAATCTTGAACAATCCCCCAGAGGAATTTTAGTAAACTATTTTCCCATCTTTTGGTTTACACGCATATGCTTCCTTGTAGCCTGGAGGAAAGTAGAATCTACAATTAATGAGGTTTTAATAAGTGCAGATGAAGATACCACTTCCATTTTACGCAATGTTATGATGAAATGCAGATAAGAAAATTGTGAAAATGACTGCCTATCACGAATCAAGGTCCATCATGTGCATTGTGAACCTTGTTCAGATTATGTACCTAACGTATTATGTGTTTGTAGTTAATAGATAATGTACTTGTTGCAGTTAACCAAAATATAATTTGCATTCAGTTGCATAAGTCATCAAAGTTTAAAGGCTCAATGCAGAACCCCATAAAAGATGCCTCTTGTATGGTATCTACTCTTTCTTTTTTTACCTTAATACTAGTAGGCTAGTAGCTGAATTTCAAAGCAAGCTCCACCAAGATTTTAGTAATTTTTTATGGGAAAAAGGTAGTGTGTTTACTAACTAGATAAATTTTCATTTTTAGAGAGAAAAATATAGAAAATGTTTACTTGTATATTTGTAAAATAAAGAATGGAGAAGAGAAATTAGAAAAAAAAATGAGAATTAAAATAAACACAATCTTAGTTACATTGCCATGTGACTTTAATGATGCGTTTATTAACGAGAGAAATATGTGTATTTATTAATCAGAAATACAAAATATGTTTATTCATACATTTTTCAATTTGAAAAAAAAAAAAAAAAAAAAAAACAGAGAATGAATGATAGAAAATTGGAGAAAGAAAAAAATTGTCAAATCGAAATAATGTATAAGATGTTTTAAATTTAAATCTAACTTTTCACCTATATTCCAAATAATAATAATAATAATAATAATAATAATAATAATAATAATAATAATAATAATAATAATAATAATAATAATGTTATTATTATAAAGGAAGGCAAATCCAATATAATATAATAAATAAAGGAAAGAAAAACATAGTTTTGAGAGATGAAGCAACAGCCTATGTGTAAAAGGAAAGGCTATGTGATCTATTTGGTGCATATTTCTCTTGCACTATTTTGTCCTCTGCAAACCCTTTTCTGTTTCATTTTTCATTTTTTTTTGTGTTAATACAATATAAATTGAAATTAAAATTAAAATGATGGAGATAGAACCAAAGTGTAACAAAACAGTTGTGTCCAACCCTAACCTAGTTGTGTGTCCTAACTAGGTTTGGGGCTCCATGAAACCAAACACAGAATTAAATAATAGTATCTATTAAGCAGACAAGTGTGGCTTAAAGTCAGTGCAAAAGGGACACCACTTGCTCCTTACAAACTGCTAAACACATACTTCATGTCTTCATTTCATTTTTTGCTGCTGGAAATTGGGTACCCACTACATATGTCTACTCTATTATTATTATTATTATTATTTATTTTCTTTTATACAACTAATGACAAACAAAGAAAAAACTTATTTTTCAAATGGTTGTTGATAGTTGATTCAATTAGTTAATAGCTTATAACTTATTGGGTTAATTGATTTGGCCAGTTAATTATATTAGCTGGTAATAAAAAAGTATTTAATAAATTAGTTGTTTACTTTTAACTTATTAGATGTAAAATGATCTATAAGGATGATTAGGTGATTTGAGTACTATTACATAAAAAAAGGACAACATTATTATTGTTGTTATGGGAACAGAAAGAAAAAATAGCAAGGCATATGGACAACAACAACAAAAGTGATAAATGTTAGAAATGTCAAGGGTAAAATGGTCATTTCATAATTAAGGCTAATTAGGCATCAATTAACTAAAAATTCTACTCTTCCTATCTTTTTTGATTTTAACTTTTACCCCAATAAACTAATACAATAAGCCATTTTACCAAACAACAATTAAATTATGAAAGTTTCTGGCTTTCTGAGTTTCTGCACTCTATAATCTGTATTTTTTTAAAAAATATAATTATATTTAAATGGCATAAGTTAATGATTACGTTAACCTTAAGAAATGCAAAGCAATTATAAGACAAATCGACTGCATATTCTTTCATGTTTTTAAAAATCTACATGTTATTTTCAATGATACCAAGAAATATCACACTATATATATTTGTTTTAAGTGTGTTGACTGATCTAAAGATTGTTTTGATATATTGAGTGAGATGGACTCAAGTTGTTGCTTCTGTGTAAAGTATTTTTCTATAATAAATGCTTCAGAATGTATTGATATATAGTGTCATTTTTCTAATTATGTATAGTACTCCGCCGTATATATTATGAAAGAAAAAGATGGATTCAAAGTTTTATTTTTATTTGAGTAATATATTTTGAGAGAACCCGCAACCATACGATTGATTTAAACCAAAAACACTAAGTTAAGATTTGAACTCGTAAATCTTGTGATTTCATGTTTAATTTGTATCCTTAAACAACTTAACTGAAATTAGATGACATATTAGATTATATAAAAATTATTTTTACTGGATGACATATTAGATTATATAAAAATTGAGTTAATACCCAAAATCGTCCTCGACTATAGTGATTTTTCTCAATTTCGTCCTAAACGACTTTGGTGACCTAATATCGTCCCAGACTTTTGTGTTTCGCTCAATTTAGTCCTCCATTTGTTATTCCGTCAAATTGGTGTTAAATTAAGGGACAATTCAGTAATGTCAATATTGATGTATCTTTACTTTCAACTTGTGAAGTGCGAAATTACTCTTTCTTGTACGAATTACACCCAGAATTACTCCCGGACCTGCAAATCAAATTTTATATTCGCAGTTTTAGGAGTAATTCTGGGAGTAATTCGTAAAAAAAAAAAAAGATTTCGCAGTTCACATGTCTATGAGTAAAGAGATGCCAATATTAAAATTACTGAATTGTCTATTTATTTAACACCAAATGGACAGAATAACAAATGAGGGACTAAATTGAGCAAAAATACAGAAATCTGGGACTAAATTGAGCGAAACACAAAAGTCTGGGACAATATTAGGTCACCAAAGTCGTTTAGGACGAAATTGAGAAAAGCCACTATAGTCGAGGACGATTTTGGGTATTAACTCTATAAAAATTATTTTTACCACCACTACTTGAGGGTATAAAATGGGTGAACCCCATTTACATGCACAATAATCTGCAAACCACACAAAATATGTAAATCACACTAAGAAGACGTACATATGGAACGAGCTAAACCAATAGAGTATGTATTTTGACAAAAATCAAATGCGTGACCTTCTAATACGAAAGTTATGCTCCACCCCATTCAACAACACATTTCCACTCTATATCTAACATATCTTAACTCACCAAACAAAAAAAAAAACATATCTTAACAAGTTAATTAAGCTAGCAAAATGGAGAAGTAACATTAATGCATTATGCTTGTTTTCCATATAATATTTAGGTTTTTTTTTTTTTTCAGATCACAAAGTGTCCTGAGTAGACTCTAACGGTAGGAAGTAGGACTCATCATATTTAGTTAATTCCAAACACTTTATAATTTAGTAGGATTACTTTATAACCCTAGATATATAGGTGAATAGAGCGATTATGGTGCATCGTAGTCTAGTTCATGCAAATATTAAATTCCCTGTATATATATCTAACTAAACAATTCCAATCCTACCATCAAAAGCTCTCTAATAACTTTAATTTTTACTCTTTTAATTGGGGAAAAAAAATGTACGGCATAACATTAGTGTATTCACTCAATTTTGTTAAACATATCATATAAATTGAGGCATTCGATAAATATTTGTCTTGTTGCAAATACGGATTCTCATGCATTAGGCATCATCTTTATCTATATATTGCTTATTAATAAAATGTTCTTCATATAAAGAGGCTAGCTAATAAATCACCAAAACTGTTATGTATCACTTGGCACTCCCTCCAACTAAAATATTATAAATTTACACCCAAATTGGATAACTGAGTATATAAAATATGATTCTAGTATTACAAATAATAATTTTAACTATTGCATGCCAACACTCTCTTGATTGAATTTTTTGTACATTATTTTTCTAGTGCAGTTTATCTCTGCTGTATAAATGCAGTGTTATCTTGTATATACTATCAGATAGGGCTGTTAACAAACCAAACATAAACGAACGGGGATTGTTCGTGTTCGTTTGTTAAGGTTTTTGGAGTGTTCGTGTTCGTTTGTTAAGGTTTTTGAAAATTCTGTTCATGTTCGTTTGTTAAGCGTTCATTAGTGTTTGTTAACGTTCGCGAACACATTTACGAACGTGTTCGTTAATATTAACGAATACGTTCACGAACATGTTCGTTCACGTTCGTGAATGCTTAATAATCGAACATATGAACATATATATTCATGATCACAATTCGTTCGTGAACAAGAAATAATATATGTCCACGAAAAATAATCAAACAAGTAACACAATTACAAAGAGAAAACAAACAAATATTAAACAAGCTTGTTCGCGAACATTATTAAACGAACACTAAACGAGCTTGTTCTCGAACATTATTAAATGAACACAAACAAACTTGTTCACGGTCTCTTAACAAACGAGCTTACAACTGTTCAGACTCTGTTCATTTATAAACCGAGCTCTAAATTATGTTTGTTAATGTTCGTTTACCTTAATAAACGAACATAAACGAACGTCTTCCAAACATGAACGCGAGTAGTTTATCGAAAATTTTGTTCGCTAACACCCCTACTATCATATAATAATTTACGCGGTATTTAACAGGAAAATTTTTTTAAAGAAAAAAAAAACCCTAATCGTTACTTGTGCCCTAATATATTCCAAATCTTCATGTGACTGTAAATTTTCTTTCTTCAGCCCTGCTCCCAAAACGCATCCACTACTTCTTCCTCGGTATTCATATTAATTTACCCCCTATATATATATATTTTTATCTATTACTGTTACCGCTACTTATTTTTACCTTTAACTCTGCTACTCCGTACTTGGCAGTAAAAAATAATTGTTTTTTATGCTTTCAACTTTAATTTACTTATTTATTTACCACGTTAAAGTAGAAACATACTAAAATAGATGTCCAAATAA